CGTTAGCTTCCTAGCCTAGCCTAGTCTTGCCTTGTCTGTTTTCTCGGTTTCTGATCTTTGCCTGTTTTCCTGGATTTATCCCTTTAGTCTTGCCCCTTTTGATTCTGTTCGCCGTTCGTTGACCTTCGCTAGCCTTAGGATTATTCTTGTGTCTTGCCCGCCATATACCTGTTTTGCCATTGGTCGACCCTGCCTGTGTTTCTGATCTCTCTGCTTAATAAAGCTTGCACATGGATCCGCATGTCTCACGTCTTGTCAGCCCCGTAACAATTATGTTATGTTCTGGTTATTAATTCTGTTGTTGTTGCAATGATTTTGGAGTACTCTGAGAGTTTCATTACAACAAATAAAGCCCTGCATCTGTACATAGACTGTGCGCATGTTGTACATGTTTTAGGTACTTTCTTAATTCCAAAAGACACACTACAGAGATCACAACACTTTAACAGTCACTTTACATTTGGTATTTCTTGTCAATTTTTCTAAATCTATTGATCTGGCATATTTGTCATTTTTCTCATTATTACTGTGCTCCGGTCTGATGAGAACACAGGTAGAAAGCTGTTCTTTGATAAGCATCCTTACCTATGTGCGTATGTGTGCACGTGTATGAGTGTGAATCTACGTCTAGACATTCCCGTCTTCCTCCCTCCCCCCTCTAAATAAAAGACAGCATCCTCCTCTCAAGTGTCAGTCACTTGCTCAACTTGCCTCTCTCTCCCAGGTAAGACAAAATCTGCTACAAATTGTGTTATTTAATATTTTATTTTTTATTTTATATTATTTAATGTATATATATATTTTTTTTTTTACATAGTGTATGACTTTTGAAATTACATGTTAATTAAGTATTAAATTGTGAATTAGAATCTTAATTGTAGTTTTATTTTGGAATTTCAGAGTTCTTGAATCTGAAAAATATTCATCATGGCAACCAAGATGGTGGTTCAACAGCCCAGGCCATTGGTAGTGGCTGCTGCATCAGACCAGTGGAGCACCAGCATCTGCGAATGCGACAACGTCAATGAATGTGAGTTTGTGTGTGTCTATATTTTTGTGTGGATGTTTGAGTATAAGTTAAGATTTAAAACTAATTCAAAAATCAAAATTCTAAAAACAATGTGTAACCGTTGCTTTCCAAACAAACTGATGGTCTGATTACAGAGGAAGAGTAATTCATCAGTGGTTCTTCTGGTACTTCTGCAGGTTGTTTCTCTGTGTGGTGTTTCCCTTGCTTTGCCTGCATTACAGCCAGAGACCACGGAGAATGTCTCTGTCTCCCTCTCCTGGACAGCTGCGGGTGTATTCCCCCAGTCACTCTCTCCATGAGGGTTTCCACACGCCGACGTTACGGCATCACGGTAAGGACCAATTTTTTTTTAATCAGTCAAGCCTTATATGTCTTATTAGAATCTGTAATTCAAACACAATCGCATTATAACAATATACTGTAATACAACAGCAGAAAAGTGAATTCAGAATATTAAAGGAGACATATTATGCCCCTTTTTACAATATGTAATATTGTAGTCTCTGGTATCCCCAGAATGTGTCTGTGAAGTTTCAGCTCAAAATACTCCACAGATAATTTATTATATCATTTTGAAAATGCCTATTTTGAGTGGAAGCAGAAACATGCTGTTTTTCGTGCCTGTCTCTTTAAATGCAAATGAGCTGCTGCTCCCCGCCCCCTTTTCCAGAATAGAGCTTCGCCATTACAGCTCGGACCTCCTAAAAAACATCTGTTTTGATTCTGATTATCATGTTT